AAAGCAGCATTTCTTATTCTGATTTACAGGTCAATTGATCAAACCAGTCAACAGTGTTTGTGTATGTGTGTGTGTGTATGTGTGTATTTGTCATGAGGTTGTGAGCAGTCATATTTTTTATTTGTTTTATACTTAAGTGTCAATAATGTAAGCCTTTCCTGTCCTAAAATTGAAGCTTTATAAAAACCTTTGCTGTCTTGACAGTGGAACTGTACTGTCCTTAGTGTTTGGTTAGTACACTTTTTCAAATTAGCCAACAGCAGATTTTATGTGTACACAGGTTCATCTTCACTGTAGATGAATAGCCCCTAAAAGATTGGGAGATTGTGAACATTTGATATGCCTTTTTTGTGGTTTATTCTGAATATTCTAATATGTCATGCATTTTCATTTATAATAAGGCTCATTCAGAATTTATTTTTGGGTTCTTTTGACTTTAAGACTATATTAGTCCTCACATAACCTGCTGATAACTTTTCTGAGTTTTTCAGTTGTTTTTCTAAACTCCGTTTTTAAGTAGTCCACATTGCGAGGATTGTTCGAGCTGAGGGGCTGCAGGCTGCAGTGAGCTATGATTGCACCATTGCACTGAAGTCTGAGCAACAGAGTGAGCATTTCCCACCTAAAAAAAAAAAAAAAGAGAGACTAGGCACGGTGGCTTATGCCTTAATCCCAGCACTTTGGGATGCCGAGGTGGGAGGATTGCTTGAGTTCAGGAGTTCAAGATCAGAGGGCAACATGGCGAAACCTTGTCTCTACAAAAAGTAAAGAAATTGGTCAGGTGTGGTGACTGAGGCAGAAGGAAGGCCTGAGCCCAGGAGGTTGAGGCTGCTGTGAGCTGTGATTGTTCCACTGCATTCTAGTTAGGACAACTGAGTGAGACACCGACTCAAAAAAAAAAAAAGAAAAAGAAAAAAACTCTGCCTTTTTTTTAAAAAAGCATTTTAACAAAACAATACTCAAGGAGTCAAGAGAGTCTTAGTCAACTTACTTGTCTGCCTGGGCTTTAGTTTCTTCATTTGTAAAATTAAGGTTTGGGTTTGTTCTCCAAAGTTATTTCTCAAACCCAGTCATTGTCTAGGACATCTCTCTTCTTGAATCCTTTGACTTGTTGTAGTCAGCTTTATCTATCTTCACCCTCTACCCCAAAGAAGCTATTAAATTCCCCAGCCCCAGGGATCTGTGTGTATTGAAGCTGGACTATGTCTTCCATGTTTCTACACATTCTCTGAAATGCCACATTTTGCCTCTGGTTCTCTTAAAATGTGCTAGCTTTTTATTAATCTTTTTGTAGGATCATGGGATACTGACCCCTCTGAATTCACTAGAAGACCAGAGAATAGCCCTAATATTGTCTAGATACTATCATATGCCCTTATTAATCTTAATGCCCCTCAGTCTGACAGGATGGATGTATTAACTTCAGCCAATTTTCAGCCCCACCCCTCCTCTGGAACTAGCTATGCTTGCTCAGTCAGTACTGCTGTTTCTAAAACATGAAGCTGGGAGAAATAGCTAATTAATTGTGTACAATAATTAGTGTTCAAAGAGATATGCTCAAGACAGAAGAATGGGACAGAACAAATGTAGTGAAATTTCACGGAGATATTTGTTGGCTCTATGAGTGTAGGAGACTTGTCTGTGTTGTTTACTTTATCTTTACTGCACAGAAGAATGTTTTGCCTAGAGCAGGCCTTCCATCAATATTTGTTGAATGAATGAATGAATCAAATTACAACTGCATAAGTACAGAAAGGAAGAGTTTATTTAACTTAGATTTAGGGTCTTGGAGCATATGCAGAGAATAGAGACCACTGTGATGTAGTATCTGAAACCTAGCCAAATGAAAAATAGTGGGAAAAGAATAGGAATCTTTATCTGGAAGGTTAGAAGGTTTAATGGGGTGGAGGAATCATTGTTTCCTGGAATTCTTGAGTATAGCACTTGTACTAATGGAGAGATTTTACAGCTCTGTCAGGCACTCTCTTCCTTGAAACTTAAGATGTTCATGTAGAGGTTAGATGACCGACCATCTATCAGAAGTGCCAAGGAAGGGAATCTTGAAGAGCCGGGTAGTTGAACCTACTGATTTGTAAGGTCTATGTGAGCCCAGGATTCCGGGAGTTTTATTTCAAAGGGAGATTGGACACAGCATGTGATTATCTCACAGAGGATAGTGAAGTGGATGATGAATTTTCAGTCTTTGCTAGAGATTGAATTATAAAACTTTTTCTGACAATATCAACATTCTTAATATCAAAAAATGAAAATAGTTTTCCTATGAAAAAGAGATAGTAATGGAGACCTCAGAAAAGTGGTCAATTAGTGCATTAAAGAGTGATGGCTGTGAGGGAAGTGAGAAAAGAAAGATCAATTAGAATATCAATGTGAATTGCTTGTCTGTAGAACGTGCACTGTCTTCTAAATACATCAGTATAAGAGAAGTATCTTTATTGGCATCACACCAGTGAGAACACTGCAGCTGTCAAGAGGTCTTATGTATATGTTGGGGGAACCTCCTAGCATACCTCAGTAGCCACTGTGGGCATAGACTTGCATTGTCATTAATGAAATAATCTTTAATGGACTGAATGTGAGTCTTCAAAAATGTTTAAATCACATATTCAGCAAGGTGGGGGAGTTTAAAGATGATTATAAACATGTTTTATGGTCTCCTGAAATTAGCAGTTTATTGAGGGAGACAGGTGCACAGTTATAACTCGATACATTTAAAAAATATTATGATATAAATAACATGCTGTGGGAATGATCTGCTTTGGGAGATCAGGAATAAAGGAGACTGGGTGTTAAAGGATAAACATTGAAGGATAGGTGCCGGGTACATAGGAGCAGTAGGGAGGCAGGTATCTTCACCTAGGGGAGTTAATAAGGTTGCTTTCTAAAGAGCAGACTGTAAAATGATCAATTACTGTTCAGATTCAAGATGTTAATTTTTTAGCAAAGCTTCTGGAGGAAAGCAAGATTTGGTGATGATACTGATAGAGCTAAAGAAATGATGTATCAGTCAGGGGAGAGGGTTTAGACAGATGAGGGTAAAGCAGAAAGTTAGAGAGATACACCTCAGCACTCTTCATGCAAACACTGCTTGGAAGAATGGACACTCCTGCTGTTGTGGTTTGTAAATCTGTGGTGTGTGGGTGGATACGCCAGACTGCCATCAGCCTGATGCCTGTAAACAGTGTTTCAAAGCCGGGCTGGGCGGCTCAGCCTGTAATCCCGCACCTTTGGGAGGCTGAGGTGTGTGGATTGCCTGAGGCCACGCCTTCGAGACCTACCCGGGCAACTTGGCGAGACCTCATCTCTACAATAAATAAAAAATATCAGCCGGGCGTGGTAGTGCACGCCTGTAGTTCCAGCTACTTGGAAGGCTGAGGCAGAAGGATTGCCGGAGCCCAGCAGGTCGAGGCTGCAGTGGCCGGGAGCGGTCACTGCCCTCCAGTCTGGGCGACAGAGTGAGACTCCAACTCAAAAAAAACCACAAAAAAACAGTGTTTCAAAAATGAACTCCCTTGGCTCTGATTTCTTGTTCATTAAGCTACATTCTGATTATGATTTGCCTTTCCATCTAGATCAGTCTGTAGGGAGACAATGTCTCAGGTATGCTGACACAAGCACTCACATCCATATGGCAGTTACGGTTCTCATTGTAAACTTAGTTAATTGAATGGCATTCTAGTCTGTATGTTTGTATTATGTCTTGTGAGCTTAATGTTACTCTACTGATGAAAGATGGCTCCACTCTGAATACCAAAAAGAAGAGAAATTTCAGTTACTAAGTTCACAAAGTTGAGATCCATACCCAGTTGACAGACTAGATGAACTCATCAAGATCAATTCTGTCTTAGTTAGCAGCACCACTTTGAAGTGACACAATTTCAAGCATAGTTGTATAAGTCAGATGTGGTTGGGGTATGCATATTTGAGAAACTGCACAGTATAGGAGAATGGCAAGGAGGAAGATGAGCCCGGAGACAAGGATTATAAAAGTTAGATTATAAAAAGGTCTGTCCTTTTGGGCAGAGGGTGTTTCATTTATTTTCATAGTAAGTTGAACTGAAATATCATTTGTGTTTGTTCTGATAAGACATCATTCTACCTTTCATTTGTAGTGAATGAATCTCCTTGTTTCTTTTCAATTCAAGCTGGGTTTGTTGCCCATGTAATTTTCCTAGTTTTGTTGTATCTAGCACACCAGTTAAAGCTGATGAGCCTACTATGTAGTGATTGAAGGTGAAATAGCCAGCCATCATTACTTTGGTCTACCATTTATACAACTCTAGTCATTCTGTTACTTTATTACAAGCCCTGTGCATGCTACTTTGATTTTTTCTAGTAATGAAAGTGCATAATTATAATGATTGAGAATTGTTTTGCCTGGGAGGGAGGCAAGTTCTTGTGATCTCTTAAAGGGCTCATTAGAAACCCTTTTTTGTTAAGTTTATTAAAAATGGAAAGTAACTCTGTCTTGCCTTTATCAGATTTTCATGACTGGAAAGCATTTATGTAGTGTGACTGCATTTGAATACTTAGACTTTTCTAAAACTATGTTTTGATGTGATGATGGTAGTAACGTTTTTTTTTTTCTAATGTTTTGCTAATTTTCTGTGAAATCTCAAAGTCAGTTTGTGGCACCAGCTTTTACTGTCTGATTTACTAGTGTCAATATGTTATTAGAATGGCAAAGGATTTTTTTCTCAATTTCCTTTTTTTCCTTTTGGTTACAGAATTATTATAATTTTGCTTGCCAAGTATCTGCTTATCAGTTCCCAGACTTCCCTAATTCTTACCTCAGTTAATAACCTATAATTTTACCTCAGTTAATGAGTAGATAGAGTGTTTCAGTTTAGTAAATTAAGGGGACTGACAGAGTCAGATCTGTTTTCTAATCCAATTCTTTTAGTTGGTTGTATAGATATCACAAATATTTCTTGCTTTCACTTAATAATCATTTTTTGTTTTATTTCTTATTAATATCTTAGGAAAAACATATAAGCAATGAAGAAGAGCACTTAAGGAGGATGGAAGAGGCCAGATTGCAACTCAAGGATCAACTTCTTTGCTTGGAGACTGAACAAGAATCCATTCTTGGTGTGATAGGAAGGGAAATTGATGCAGCTTGTAAGACTTTCTCCAGGGACTCGATGGAGAAATTGAAAGTAATTATGAGTTCTCATTGTGCCTTAAATTTTTAGTTAGTTTTCTAATATGCGATTATAATGGGATTTTAATGTATGGTTACATGGTAGTCAGATTTTTATTACAAAAAGTTTTATGGAACAAAATAATTTTCATTTTTTAGAATGAGATGCTAGATCTATGTACAGCCATGATGAAAGGAAGTAACGTTTTATTCTGTTGAATTGCCTGTGTGTTACTCTGTAAAAGAAAATGTCTTACAAGAAAGGCAGTAGTTTTGATGAAGGAAAATATCCTTGGAGTCAAGTAGCCTGGAGTTTGAATTTTTCACTATCACAGGCCATTTTTTTGTTTTTCGTATATTACTGGCGAACATCTATTGAGTGCTATGTTATGGTTACTGTGGTCAATATGGTACAGCAGCCTCTACGTTAACCTCTAAAACAACCCTATCCCTTAGTTACTCTGATTAAATCCACTTTAGAGAAAAGGAAGTGAGGCTTGGCGAGTTCAAATAACTTGTCCCTGGCTGTACATCCCGTTCCACACTGAACTAGTCCGTCAAGCTTTGGGGGTCTAACTCGGTAACCTAAGTAAGTAACCATTATGCGATCTGCCTTCCCTATTTAAACAAATTGAATTTAATTTAGGTTTTCTAATTTTAAAGTGGAACATTGCCACTCAATTTATAGTTGTAGTGAAGTGATAAACAAAAGCAGAAATGATCATGGATGCTTTGAATTCCTTGAAAGTAAGCACTTCTGTCAACTGTAGGCTCTGCTGCTGCCATATTGCCTACAGAGAGCATTACATTGATTAGATATGGTACAGCCACAGCACATTATGATTCAGTATCATTTGCCCTGTATTGACTTCATTTGATGATATGATGGCACTCAGATTTTGGTTTTGTGCTTTGTCCTTTTCAGGTGTTTCTTCTATTTATGTTGCTATTCATTTGCCTTATTCTTCCTCTAAAATGACTTTCCTTTTTCACAGTACTGCTCTCTCTTCTCTTGCTCTTCCTCCTCATTTTTTTCTTCTCTCTTAAGTTGTGTTTAAAAGAAAATTAAACTGTAGTTCTACTCATACAATCGAAGCTTTCTTAGAATTAGATTTTATTGGAAATATTTCAACTGATAGAATTTGATAAAGTTGGTGGAATTTTTATAATATGCATTCCTATATACATTTTTTTAAAAGTCTAAATGCCAGTTGGAGAGGACTGTGAATCTAATATGAGAAGTAATTGGTTTGGGGGAAAACACACTCTTTTAGGGTTGTTTTAGGGCTCATTATAATGCTGTTTTATTTTTTCTTCTGTCTAATGCTGCTTTAAAAATTTTAAGAATATGTGACCTTGAAAATCCTAATTTCTTCTAAAAGAAGTATATATAAAATTTCAGTATTCTGTATTTAGATATTTGTGTCAGAATGGTTTGTTTTCAATCATGAGGGAATGTAAAATGGAAACATTTGAATAATATTATAAAGATATATAAACCTTGTTATGGGCAGTTGTAGGCAAAAACATGGTATGAAGATAGCAGATTGCTTAAATAGTTTATTTCTCAATGAGGCACAAAGTGTCCTTCCAACATATTCCAAATAGCACCCCATTCTTTCATAGGCTTTCTGGCATGGAATGATTGTGGCAATGGGCTTGACACCTCTTCCCCTAGAGAAAGACTAATTCGGTCCAAGTCATGGGTGGAAAGTAAATCTAAAAAAAATGGAAATTCTATTAATTTTTAAGAGTCTACATTTTTTTCATTGTAGGTCTCTTTCCATTTGTAACTTCCATTGTTTTATTCCTATAAACTTGAAAAAACCTGAATACACAAGAACAGAGATTTGCTCTCAACCTCAAAGAAACCATGAAGGGGTTTGTTAAAGATAAAATGTATTATTTACTTTGTAGCTTATAGCTCTATGGAAGGGGAATGGAAGAATCATGTAAAATATTTTCAAAAGAGTAATTCTAATATTCTTTCTCATTTCTTGATTTTTGAAATATGGCTGATGAAATATTTAGTGAGTGTATGTATAGATCATTTATATTATAGAATGGATTAGAAAATAGATATGTAGTAAATTAACTTGAGAAAAAGTCCTAGGAAATGTTGACATTATTTTTAATTGCCTTTTTCTAGTCGCTGTATTAGTTACTTGTTCTACTTTAGTGAATGCAGGTACTGTTTGAAGAGTAAGGACAGACATACGATAAATCACCATAATTATAAAACAATCGAGAAAGTATCTGAATTCAAGACATATTATTCTCATAGGCCAATCTTTGATAATTCATCTGCTCAAGTAAATATATTAGATCTGCATCATGTCTTTATTTTAGTCTCTCTCCTCCCATAAGGCTTGGATGGACTTTGGATTAGGACAGATGTAGGTTCAAATTGCATCTTTCTAAATTTCCTTGGATGAGTTATCTAATCTCTGTCCTCTCTAAGAATGTGTATTTCCAATTATAAGGTGGCTAATTATGAAGATAAAGTAGAATAAGATATAAAAGGTACACAGAGTATGAAATATCTTACATTTAATAGATATTCAATTGATGTTAGCTATCATTATTCTGTAGTGTCTTTTTTGATTATATTTCCACTATACATATGACTACTCTTTCTTTATATTTTTGACGATGCATGTCTGTTATAGATCTTTTCATGAAAGACCTTGAAGTCTATTTATTGATGATGATATTTGATATGTGCTGGACACTGTGCTAACACTCAGTTTATTTGATCTATACATTGGTATTATGGGGTAGTTTGTCCACTTAACAGGTGATAACCTACAGCTTACAGAAATTAAGCCACATCATTTATAAGTGATCAAGGTTGTTATCTTAGACACAAGGCTATATATAAGCTTGTAAAGCAAATCATAAAATATAAACATTACTTGTACTTATTATTTCACATGATTTTTTACTTTGATCTTGAGAACTATGTATTAAGTTATTGAAGATTGAACTGACATGCATGACATTGGTAAATAAAAAAGAAAATAAAAAATGTCTTGTAATCAATGACAAATGGATGTTTACAAATATTCGACAACACAGTAGAGAGTTAGAAGAGGAAGAAACATTGTGAACTAAGGAGATTGAGGAAAATTTGACTGAAAAGGCAGGGAGGGCATGAGAGTTGGATGAGTTTTAGATAGAGAGAAGGGTAGATGAAAACTTGGCTATAAGAATATAACACTCTTGCTTATGGTATGCAGTATGCACTTAATGTGCATTCAATATATCTAAATGAATTAGCTAATGATATTCCTGGCAGGGAAGTAACGTGCACATAACACTGGCATGGACATATTTGGGAATAGGAATAAGCATCTTTACAGAGAGAAAGGATATTTTTAAACAGAAAAATTCTAGAAAGAGGTTCTACAAAAATATCATATGTAGCACAGGGTTCAAAGAAAGCAGGGATTGAGAAATAATTGTGTGTTTACAATTATAGAGTTATTGACAATCCTTGCATATAGTTTTACATTAGCAATAAGGCAAAACCAATTGGCATGGGATTTATAAAAGAGTTGGTGCGAAGGAAATCAAGGCAGCTAGTGTAGCTATTTATTTATTGTAGGTTTTTATTATTATCTTGAAATGTTTGCATGAAGTTGTGTTGATGGGTTTCTATCTATTTTTGACAACCATTGATGAGACAAAATGGTCCCTACAGTATTAAAGAAGGATAAATGAGAAAAATAATTGTTTCCATGTAATCATATCCAACCCTCTGTGAAATACATTATGTGGCACAAGACAGAGGAAAAGAAGCAAAAGTGAAGTAAACTGGCTTTTGTTAAGGCTGCTTGCCATGGAATCAGCCTCTGGCGCTTCCAGCAATGATAGCACTTGATAGTTGATTTTTTCCATGTCTCAATATTTGAGCTAAATATTCATTGGTAACAAGAAATGATTCAGTACATAAAGAGGCAGATAAATAAGCAGTGATTTGAAACTAGATGAATGCTTGGGACAAACTTCCTGCTTTTCAAACCCGTGAGTTTGGGGACTTAACTTTTGGATGCTATGGTGAAGAACTTCATTTATGTAAGCTTATGTCTGAGAAAAATCTAGTTCTAATAGCCTCCTTCCTCTTTTTTGTAGGTTTTTTCATCTAGTCCTGATATACATTATGACCCACATCGCTGGTTAGCAGAAAGCAAGGTAATTCATCTTTGAACCCTAAATTTATCTTATTTATGACCTTCCAGTCATTCTGTTTGGTTTAGCTGTATGTTTTGTCATATAACCGAGCACATGAAGCTATTATATTTCATTGCAGGGGAGATGTCACAGCAATGCATTTAAGCAAACTTCATGTTTCTTATTTTAACATTTAGAAATTAGCTTGAATATATAGGTGTAGAATAAGAGAATAAAGAAGGTAAAACTGTTGAAATATGAAGAAGCAGATATTCACAGAGACAAAGTCTTCTGTCATTAACTTGGGATAGGAAGTATTTTGGGAAGTGTACAAAGGTCAGGGCAGCTCAAATGAATCTTCATTTTATACATGTATATTTAATATATTTTGGTTTCTGAGGGTACGATCAAATAAGGTGGATTCCTTCACCTCTCTGGTAGTCTTTTACAGAATGAGAGTGGTAAACTTTTTGTTCTGAAGAGAACTTTTCTGTTTCATGGTTCTTTGGCATTATGATTTAAATTTGATGCAAGATTAAACAAAAATAAATACAACTGAATAATTTTCTATTTTTAGCAAACAGCTTATTCTATAGTGTGGCATAATCATCAGCTGTCTTTATATATCAGACCAACTTAGAAATTCATTAATTAAAATATGTGGAAAATTATGACCAGAGACATTGTAGATATCTACTTATTCAAGTGTCAACCTGTATACACTTGCATTCTTCTTTAAACTAGGTTTTTTTTCTTTTCTTTCAACTTTAAGGCACTAAAATGGAAAACCTTCTATCGTGTTTAACTATTGTAAGAAAACCACCTACCAATAGTAGTTCAATTTAGGATTTTATTATAAGAAATAACTTTGTCCATTATCTTAATTAAAAAATGTAAGGAATGTGAGGTTTTAGAGAAGGAAAATAACTTGTCCAGTACCATTTAAATACTGGACAAACAGATTACATGCCATGTCTGACTCACAATTAATGTCTTATACCATTATGCATATTGCCATCTAAAGTTGTTTATTCAGCCATAGTTTATTGATCTTGTACTGCTTTGTGTCACACACTGGTTATATCAGGGGTAGCAAGGTATGGACCTTGCTCTCATGTAGAGAAAAGTCTAACAGAGAATATTGAGATGTAAACAAATTTTAGAAGTCTTTGAAGTGTGTCATATTCTTATAGTTAATATGCAAATACTGACAAAGGAACACTGAAGAAGGAAGAACTAACTCTGATGTTAGTGCTGGAAGAATGGGAGCGTATGAAGCAACCACTGTGTCATAGACAGTTTCTGGAAAAAAGCAGTATTTAAATTTTGTCTTGCAAAAAAATATGTAGCAGTTCTCCAGTTGACTAATCATGGGTAGAAAAATGGCCAGAAGATGAGAATGTTTGAGTAACCACAGATAATGCACTGAGACTAGTTAGGCAAAGTAAGGGAAAGACAAAGTTTCACCTTTGAAGACCAGCTATGCATTAGAGAAGCTTTTTTTTTTTTTTTTAAACATTCCTAATAAGAAAATAAAAGTATTGTGGTGAATTTACCTTACCTTGTGAATTTTCCTCGTTTGTTTTACAACAGTTATCTTGCATGCTTCTAGCCATTGTTGATGAAAACAAATGCAAATTTGTATTTATGCCACCTGCATAGGAATTCTAGAATGTACACGTTTTGCTTTCTTAGAATGTTTTGGCCAGAAACTTCTGCTGTGCATTAATATAGCATTTCTCTTTTTTTTCTTTTTCCCGACTCCACAACTCTGACAACAAGAGCAATGTACTTGGAATTTTCTTTCAAGTTAAAATCTTTATCATTTCTGAACAGAAAGCTTTCACAGCTGTGGCTCAGTTAAATTATGAGAGCCAGAGATGACTCTTAATCATAGCTCTTTAATTTCAGAGCTAGTGAGCAGTTTTCTCTTATCATTTAATGGGATTGAACTTCTGATCAGACCAGTTTTAATACTGTATAAGACAACTGTTCTTTCTGCGGTGTAAACGGGTTGTGATAAAAAATACCATGCTGACCAACTGACTAAGAAGGAATTGAATCTATTTACTAGAAAGATGGCTTAGGTTATTGATGGCTACAATACTGTAATTCCCATGAACTATGACTGGACAGCTCTATAAGTATTGAAGATAAGATCTGAAATCAGAGGACAAAAACTACGTGGAAAGCAGAATTGCTATTCAGCTAGACCATGCTGACATCTTGCAGTATTAGAAGGACCTCTGAGGGCATTCAGTAATTGTTTTCATAAATCTGCCAAATGAATCTCTTCTGTTAGTGTTAATTCCAGAAAGCTAGAGGCTTGGGTGGGGATTGTATCACAGTTGTTTTGTTTTCAGTGGTGACTTAACATAAACATGAGGTCTAACTAAGAGTTGACCAGACTCACCGATAAAATAGTCAATGAATGGTAAGGAGAAGACATTATAGGGAGGAAGAGAGTTGAGAGGGTCACTAAGGAATGCCAGGCAAGAAATTCTCATCGATTAGGGATGTGCTTTTGTAGTAAGTTCTGGCAAGGCATGTGGAGGTCAAACTTTCTTCAGCCTTTCAGAACTTACTGAGTAACTGCTATGTCGTAGATGCTGTTACATGCTGTAGGTGTAAAAATGAATAAGACATGGTCGTGGTCTTTAGAAAAGGCAGACACATATGCAGATAATTTTAATATTAAGTGTAAGGGCTGTGTGAAGTGTGCAGAAGCTGCCATTGCAACTGATACCTCAGATCAGCCTCCTGAAGCTGACCAGGTAAAGAGTAATGAGCATGCAGAAAACACGATTCTAGGAATGACACAGGAGGGAAACTTGGTGATAGATGCAAAGAAAGCTCTAGTGCTTTGCAATAGTAAAATATGAAAGTGTGAGACAGAGTGTGGCAGAGCATGAGGCTCCTGGCTGAGGGAGAAATTAGGTTCATTGAGAAGAGCAATATATGTCATTTTTAGACACTTAGATTGAGATCTGCATTTAGTAGAGATTCACAAAGGAGTTTTGAACAAGAGAGTAATGTGCTCTTATTTATATTTTGGAAGTATTACTCAGATAGCGATGTGAAAGGTAGATTAGAGTTGGTAAGATTGAAGGTACGGAGACCATTTAAGAGACTTTTCTCATTGTCTAGGTGAGATTAAGTTCCAGTCTGAATTAAGGAAGTTGTTCATAGATTCAGAGGAAAGGATAGAGTGGAGTAATATTTGGGACAACATTCAAGTGGTGCTTGTTGTAGGGTGATAGAGAAGACGATGTCTAGAATTATCAGGCCAAACTTGCAGACTCCAATCAGGGGTTGGTACCTGAATACATGAGCATGCAGAGTCCTAGATAGACAAGTTCGTAGGAATATTGAAAGAGTTTCCACCACAGATTGATACTCAGAAAGTTCTATTTGGACAGGAAGGTCCAAAGAGAAGTAAGGACTCAGGCACAGATCAGAGTTTAGGTTCAAATTGTGGTAAAAAATGGGAAGTAGCAAAGATACTCACAATGACAGAATAGCAAAGATATTCACAATGACAGGACAACTTCTCAAATCTAGGTGAGGCAAGTCTTCTTGGGACGAACCCACATACTAGACAGAATCACTGTGGATCCCAGATCTTAAGTTATCGTTTTGTGGTATAGAATAAAGAAAAGCTGGTGTCAGTTTCTCTTCAGCACAAGGCAGGATTCGAGTGGTATGTTGCTTACAGATGAACCCATTTAATTCTGGGATCTGGTATTAATTATTCCCTTAAGATGCAAAAGCGTGAATTTATATACTTTTTTGACTGTAGAAAGCTGTAGTTTTTCTCCTTGGCCTTTGCCCCGCTGTATTGAAATTCCCATTTGTCCTTCTTTCTTTATTCTGTAAGCTTTACAAGGGAAAGCTGTTCCTGTCTAGTTTCTCATTACATCTTTAGCACTTATCACAATGCCTGGCTAAATGCTCAATAAGTATCTATATATATTTAGAGAGTAATTATATTTATGTATGCTTCATTTTCTTACTCAAGGTACTTCCTCAGCTTAATATCGCAGAAAAATAAGTAGCAAGCAGATGAGATTTCAGTGAGTATATTATTTCCTCAGTGTTGGTCTTACATGATTGGAGCTATAAACTTTGAGATTATATGGGTAAGAAGTACACTTCCAAATTTTCAGGGACTTTTCCTATATTGTCCTGTGTGGGCATCAGCCCAAAGAGTCACACTTTCTATAGTAAAATGTGTTCTAGGCATTGATAAGCATTTGCTTTTTGAGACTGTACTACTGATGCAACTTATTTTATTTTATTTTACAGATGTGAGGTACAATTCAGGGTTGGGTATACAAGTGATCATCATACAGGTGAAGTTTGGGCCTCCTTAGAGATCATGTATTTTGACCTCCTCATTTTGTAGATGAGAAAACTGAGGCTGAGCGAGTTTTCAGTTTTACCTGAGGACACAAAGCTAAGTTGTTACTGAGAAGGGTTTAGAACTCATGTCCCTGAATGCCTTGTCATCGCTTTTCTCTGTTGTTTGTATAATCTACAATTGACTATAAACCTTACATTTATGAAAATTGCCTTTTAGTGATATGGATTTTTTAAAACAGTCATTGTGTGAGAAATATTAGGCCCAGAGTATTTACTTCTTGCTGATGGAAGTGAGTAATCATCTAGTATTTTATCCTTCTGATACAGAAATAAAAATGTTATACTCAGTATCTTTTTTTATTTTAAAGATGTGGGGTACAATTCAGGGTTAGGTATACGAATGTTCTTTATGCAGGTATCCTTGATATACTCAGCATCTTGATTCATTTATTGGGAATATACTTTAGATGGTTTACATGGAATACACTTAATTTAACTGGAGAAAATTATTTTATATTTTAAAATATGTAATACTATGGAGATATTTTTACTTTCTTTTTTATTATATTCATAACAAAGTAGAAATGTGGGAAAAGTATTACTAAAAAAATGGTAATTATATTTTTAGGTTGACTTGTATTTGAATTTTACAGTTCTAG